CCTCCCACACCCCATGGTTGGTCTTCCCTAATAACACCATACCAATCTGTCTAGACCCTCGGCTCGCCAGGCACTGGTCTGCTCCATATCCCCCGTCCTTCTCATCCCACTATTACCAGTCACATTTGCTATCCCACCCTCAGGAACTCCGCCCCGGAATCTCTCCATCTCATCCCCTCCCATGCCTCATTCAAGACCCGTCTCAAGACCTTTATGGGCAAATAAGGGATTATTAACTCAGGAAAAGCGATCCGCTAATCGACTAACAACCAGGTTCCTAACTTACTGCTAGGTGAACAGAGGTGTGTGGAGTAATGAAACTTGCCCAATGTTTCGCGCTGCCCCGGGATTCAAACCCAGGTCCTCTCGCTTGCGAGGCGAGTGCTCTAACCACTCAGCAACAGGACTCCATAATAATGCACACTGATCACAGAATTGTACCAATTTTTAAGGCAAAGTGTTTCTAACAAGAAATTCCATTACAGCATCAGCCTAGATTGTGAGTTCAAAGTGAGATTTGAACCCACAACCTTCTGACTCAGAGGAAGAGTGCTGCCAACTGAGCCAGCTGGCACTTAAATAATCCCTGCATTTGATACAGCAATTTATCATGGTGTCAAGATGTCTCAAGGCACTTCAAGGGATTTTATTGAACTGAAGTGTAGTGTCGTGAATATGTATTTGTAGGCACAAATTTTCTGCCAAGGTAGAGGCCATGTGACCCATCATATGTGTGCCACTCTGCTACCTGCTTTTCTAAATCACCTTTTTTTAAAAATTAATCCCACCTTCCAGCTTTCTCCTTATATCCTACACTTGTTTACTGCTCGACTGTTTATCCAACAACAACAACATGCATTTATATAGCACCTTCATGCCAGACTGCGTCTCAGAGAGCTTCATAGTGGTAGAGCCCAATGCCGAGCAGGAGGAAGGCGAAGGTGAGCGTTAGCACCAGTTCACACCCAGTATAACCCAATCTTTTATATTACCGAGCAATGAGCCCAACAGTCTATAGGGATGAGGGCAGCAATGAAGGAATCGCTTGGGATTCAGTCGCTGATATGTAAATCCTAAATATCACTCATCTTACAGATCCTTTCCAGAGTTCCTTGCCTCCGCTTGCTCTTAACGTTCTCGTTGGCTCAGCAGCCGTTGCATGATTGGAACCAGCTGCAAAGCTGGGAGGGCACCAAACATGCAATACAGCTGTTCCTAAACTCAACCCACAGGGATCTCTCCTTCTGTTCCATCAACTTCAGCTGCCATCTATTCGGTTGTGATTGTTATGGTAAGCCAAAAGCAATTGCTGGCTGCTCTACACCTCTCAGGGGCTGCACAGACTGGACGCAATCCATCCTGCAGCACAGGCCATGAAAATCTCAACAGTTTGCCACTTAGCAAGTCCAATCTGTCCACTGGCTGCCAAAATCATTTGTTTCCTTTTCTCCTCACTCCTCTAATTTAATCATCTCTATGAAAACATTTGACTCCTTCCTTTTCCTGTGGCACGGTTCTACAAATGGCCTTGCTCCTAGCGGTCATTATTAATGTCTGAATAATAATAATACTAATAATAATTCTTGCATTTGATATAGCGCCTTATCACGTCATTGAGACATCTCAAAGCGCTTCATAGGATATACTATAAAGTGGGCAAAATGCGGCAGACAGTTGCACACAGTAGTGTGCCACAAACAGCCATGGAGTGAGTGTCCTTTTTTTTTATTTTGGAGGATTGTTGATCAAGACACCAGGAGAGAGAAACTCGCTTCTCTTATCAAATAGTGCCATGTGATCTTCAACATCCACTTGAACAGGCAGAAGGGACCTCAGTTTAACAGATCGTCTGAAGGACAGTGAATGGGCTGTTCCACATGTTGAATTCATGCACCCTCTAGTTGCTGCAGTATAAATGTTTCACTGCAGGCTAAAAGAATATCACAGGGAACATACTTAAATATTTATAATAATCCTTGGATTTTATACAGTGCTTTAACTCACTGTCAAAATGTTTCAGACACTTCATAGAATTTACTGCATTTTGGCAAATACAGCACAAAATTTGCACACAGCAACGTCCCACTAATACTGTAGTTATGAAGTGAATGACCGATCGTATCTGGAGGATTGTTGGCAGGACACCGAGAGAAACTCCCTTCTCTTTTTGAATAGTGCCATGGAATTTTTAACGTCCACATGAACAGGCAGACTGGACCTTATTTTAACATCTCGTGCAAAATTGCAGCCACCTCCAGTACTGTACTGTAATGGCAACCTAGCCTCTGAGCTCCAGTCCTATTTGGGCCTTGAATACATACCCTTCTTGGCCCAGAGGCGGGCATGCAAGCAACTGAGCCAAGCTGATATCCGAGACATCTGTGTACGCCAGGATCACTTTTCTGTTTTTCCTGAACATATTTGTAATGTACAGTCATTCCACAGACCTTCCAAGGCAGCTGTTATTGCACCGAGAGTATCCCAGCAGCCACAGGTTGGCGAGAGCAGTTACGAGCTTCCTCAGCACGGGAAGTGACTTCATCAGCAGTAGATCAAGAAACTCAGAGCGGAGTCATTGTTAAGGCAGGTCCCGTTTATATCCGATTTTATACCTCCACCTGATAACAGGGCCCAACTGTACCACCGTTTTGAAATGAAAAGAAAAAACAGTTAATAATAATAATATAATCCTTGTATTTCATATAACAACAAAATGCCTCAGAGTGCTTCATAGTATTTACTGTCAATTTGGGGGGAAAAAATTAATCCTTCATTTCATGGCTGCTTTTGTAAAGTTGCTGTGTGCAAATTGGTTGCCACGGTTCACCGATTCAAGGGAGAAACTCCCTTCTCCTTTCCAATAGTGCCATAGGATCTTTAATAACCACTTGAACAGGCACACAAATGACTTAATGTTTCACCAAAGGACGGCACCCCCAACAATGAAACATACTCCAATGGATTGGAGTGTCAGCCTGGACTGTGAGCTCAAATGACAATGTGGGGATTGAACCCATAGCCTTCTGATCAGAGGTGAGCATGCTTCTAAATGAGCCACGGTGTATCAGTTATACCACACAGAATTAAAAATATACAGGAATGTATTTCAAGACGGTGATACAATCTCAGGGATTCACTGACCTTTATAAGTGGCTCCTGACAAGATCACGAGAGATGTTTGGATGATAAAGGTCCTTTGGCCTATTTGGCTCCTTCCTCTGTTCCAAAGTATCAGTCCCACCTTCTTTTCCAGGACATTGCTCTTTAAGCACTCCAGGATGCTACACTGCGTGAAGGGCACTATATAAATGCAAGCTGTTGTTGTTGGTCAAACTGTTTCTTTAAGATCCCTGGTCCCTTACTCAGCCAGCCTTCCAAGCAAGTCAGCCAAATGTCAGTGGTAGAGAAACTTCTAAAGACCTTGATCTTGGGACAAAATTAATTTTCACTTGGAAAAACATGGCGTAATAAAGGGCAGCCAACGTGGATTTGTTAAAGGCAAATTGTGTTTAACCAACTTGATTGAATTCTTCAATGAAGTAACAGTTGATGAAGGTAGTGCAGTTGATGTCGTGTATGCAGACTTTCAAGAGATGTTTGATAAAGTGCACATAATAGACTCGTTAGCAAATTTGAAGCCCATGGGATTAAGGGAACAGTGATAATATAGATCCGATATTGGCTGGGAGACAGAAAGCAAGAGGGAATGGTTGCTTTTCAGACTGGAGGGAGGTATACAGTGGTGTGCCCTCAGGGTCGGTGTTAGGACCAGTGCTCTTTTTAATGAATAGTAGTGACTTGGGTATAGGGAGCAACATTTTAATGTTCGCAGATGACACAAAATTTGGAAACATAGTAAACAGTGAGGAGGATAGTAGAGGACCGCAGGAGGACATAGTCAGGCTGGTGAAACAGGTAGACACATGGCAGGTGGAATCTAATCAGCGCCTTGGGACGTCCTCCTGACGTGAAAGGCACTGTACCAATGTGATTTTGTATTTCGTAATGCAGAGAAGTGTGAAATGATGCAGTTTGGGAGGGAGGAGGAATAACGAGATGGGAGGGAGGAGGAATAAGAAGAGGCAATATAAGATAAATGATGCAATTTTAAAGGGGGTGCAGGAACAGAGAGACCGGGGGGTTCACACGCACAAATCTTTGAAGGTAGCAGGACAAGTTGACAAAGCTGTTAAAAAAGCAAATGGGATCCTTGGCTTTATAAATAGAGGCCTAGAGCATAAAATCAAAGAAGTTAAACTGAACTTTTACAAATCGCTGGTTAGGCCTCAGCTGGAGTGTTGTGTCCAATTCCGGGCACCGCACTTCAGGAAGGATGTCATGGCCTTGGAGGGGGTGCAAAGGAGATTTACAATAATTATACTAGGGACAGTTACGTGGAGAGACGAGAGACGCTGGAATTATTTTCCTTAGATCAGAGAAAGTTGAGGGGAGATTTTACAAAGGCGTTCAAAACGATGAGGGGCTTTGATCGAGTAGACAGAGGAGACACGATTTCCTGCAGCAGGTGGATCGGTCAACCAGAGGACACAGGTTTAGGATAATTGGCAAAAGAACCAGAGGTGGGGGGGGGGGGAGACTTGGAGAGATGTCCTTTTGGTATATTAAAAAAAAAGTTTTGTTGAATTAGGAAATGCCAAACTTAACACTTTCCAAATAAAAAGGGCCCCAAAAAAAATCAGAAACAAAATACACACAAGTAGCAAAGAAAAAAAGGATGAAACTGGGCGGCTGGCGCACTGCAGGGAAGATATCTAACTTTGATTGACTTGATTTGGGTCTAAACAGAAAACAGTGGAAACTGAGTAACAGTGTCAGGAAACGAGAGAGAGAGATCCACTTTCCATCTGAGTCAGTGAGTGAGTGAGTGGGAGTTGGGGCGCGCGAGGGCCGCTGGGAGTTGTAGTCCGGGCGGTCGGGGGCTGCGCGGTGACCGGAGGGTCAGCGGCCGCCGCCGTGACTACAAGTCCCAGCCTGCCCCGCGGCGGCCGCAGCTGAGGTTTGTGACGGAGTTGCTGTGTTGGTGTTTGCGGATTCAGAGCAACTCAGAAACAAAGCGCAGCGGTGGGTGAGTGAGTGTGTGTGAGGGTGAGTGTGGGGGTGAGTGAGGGGGTGAGTGTGGGGGTGAGGGGGTGTGAGGGTGTGTGTGTGTGTGGGGGTGTGAGGGGGTGTGTGGGGGTGAGGGGTTATGAGGGGGTGAGTGTGGGGGGGGGTGAGGGGTTGTGAGTGTGGGGGTGAGGGTGTGTGGGTGGGGGTGAGGGGGTGTGTGGGGGTGAGGGGGTGTGTGAGGGGGTGTGTGAGGGTGAGTGTGGGGGTGAGGGTGTGTGTGTGTGGGGGTGAGGGGGTGTGTGTGGGGGGGTGGGGGGTGGTGGGGGTGAGTGTGGGGGGGGGTGTGGTGGGGGTGAGGGGTGTGAGGGTGAGTGTGTGGGGGTGGGGGTGTGTGAGGGTGAGTGTGGGGGGTGTGTGGGGGGTGTGAAGGTGAGTGTGTGGGGGGGTGTGAGGGTGAGTGTGTGGGTGGGGAGTGTGAAGGTGAGTGTGTGGGGGGGTGTGAGGGTGAGTGTGGGGGGGGTGTGGGGGTGTGAAGGTGAGTGTGGGGGGGGTGGGGGGGTGTGGGGGGGGTGTGGGGGGGGGGGTGTGGGGGGGTGGGGGTGTGAGGGTGAGTGTGGGGGGGTTGTGGGGGGTTTGAGGGTGAGTGTGGGGGGGGGGGTGAGGTGTGAGGGGGGTATGTGGGGGGTGTGAGGGTGAGTGTGGGGGGTGTGTGAGGGTGTGTGTGTGGGTGAGTGTGTGTGTGGGGGGGTGAGTGTGTGAGTGAGTGAGTGTGTGTGTGGGGGTGAGTGAGTGTGTGTGTGTGGGGGTGAGTGAGTGAGTGTGTGTGGTGAGTGTGTGAGTGAGTGTGTGTGAGTGAGTGTGTGTGGGTGAGTGTGAGTGTGTGTGTGTGTGGGTGAGTGTGGGGGTGAGTGTGTGTGAGTGAGTGTGTGTGAGTGAGTGAGTGTGTGTGGGAGTGAGTGAGTGTGTGAGTGAGTGTGTGTGGGTGAGTGTGAGTGAGTGTGTGGGTGAGTGTGTGAGTGAGTGTGGGTGAGTGTGTGTGAGTGAGTGAGTGAGTGTGTGTGTGTGTGTGGGTGAGTGTGAGTGAGTGAGTGAGTGTGTGGGGGTGAGTGTGAGTGAGTGAGCATCTCTCCAGCTTCTCGCCAACATTTACTCTGATTTTTTTAAGATGAAAAAGAATTGTTGTGTAAATACGTGGCTTTGCATTTCGCTGTTAATGATTGAGTTTCTGTCTGTTTTACTTTCAGTTTTGCCTTCTCTCTCTCTCTCTCTCTCCCCCCCCCTCCCTTCCTTCCTTCCTCTCGGGGTCTGTCTCACCCACTCCCTGCTTTGCTGTTCAAGGGAAGTGTGTTACTGGGGTAAGTTTGCTTCCAAATTTTTGAAAAAAATAGATATATTTGCTTATATGAAGTTGGTAACCTACCTGTTGGAGTGTCTCAGTCCCCCCTCAGGTGAAGCAGTGAGCTATTAAGAGGTCCTGTTGGCAGATCCTAAATCTGAAACACTGACAATCTGCTTTAAAAGTCACCTTTCTTCCCTCTCCAAATCTTTCTCCTGTTCTCCAGGGGCACATTCCTGTTGGGCTTGTGGTGCGTATTTACTTCACCCAACTGAGGGCATCAGCAGCAACAATAACTTGTATTTACATCGTGCCCTTCACACCGGGGAGTGTCCGGGAGCCGCTGAAAGGTATCGAGGGATATGGGGCCAGGATCTTATAGAAAGGGTGGTAGAACAGGCTCGAGGGGCTGAATGGCCTACTCCTATTCCTATGTTCCTAACTGGCCTGCCGTAATGCTGGAGTCTAGGTTTCAGTGCCTTCGGATGTCTTCCCGACGCGAAAGGCACTACACAAATGTAATTTGTTGCTGTGGATAGTGAGTGTCGGCAGGTTAGTTGACTGCGGGAGGGGGAATCTCAGTGGAATTTTATCTCGTCTTCACCAACCAAAACCCCATCTTCCACTAGGGGGCCCTGGAACAGTAACCCTGATTTTAACTCCCAACCTATTGCCACACAAACACTTGTACAAGAACAATCTAGTTGTTTTTTTTAAAAAAAACTATTAATCCAGTGTTAACAATGACTTGTGTTTATACAGCGCCTTTCATGTAGAATAATGTCTCATAAAGTGCTTTACAGAGATGGGGATCGGATGACAAGCGGGGTGGGGAGGACATGGTGGTCATAGGCGTTGTTGAAGGGGTAGGTTTTAAGGTGCGAGTTTGGACAGAAAGAAAGATGGCGAGATTTCATGGAGAGATAGAGGGAGGGGGAGTTCCAGAGGTCGAGTTTCAATCTGAAGGCTGGACCACTGATGGTGGTGAGGAGATGATGAAGGATGGGCAGCAAGCCTGCCTTTCCAAGCAGAGTCGGTGGGCAGAGGAGCGGGATAGGAGAAGATCAGAGACATAAGGAGGTGCTCGGGCATGAAGAGTTTTATAGGTGAGAGGTGAGGACCTTGAAGATGCAGCCATTGGATGGTGGGGCCTGGTAAGGATCTGGGATGGTACGAGTGCAGAGCTTGGTGCAAGTGAGGATGCAGGCAGTGGCTTTTGGTTGAGTTTTCACTTGGCAGAGTCTGACAACGAGCTGGGGGGAGGTGACTGTAAACACAATCAAAAAGAAAAATCTTCAGGCGGGATTTGAAGATGGAAGGAACGGGGAAGGCAGAGGGATTGAGGGAGAGACTTCCAGAGTTTTGAGGCGTAGTGGCGGAAGGCACGACCACCCAAGCTGGACCTTCAATTTAATCCCATATCACTGGCCTTTCGCCACCTGCCAAATGTTCATCTACCACTCTCTTAAATATTTCAATTAACTCGGCTCCTAAGCCTTTGGTAGTAATGAATTCTAGATTTGCACACACCTTTGTGTGACTTTACCAAGTGGGCTTTTGGAGAAGAGTTTAAAGGCTGAAAGGCGGGAGGGCTGGAAGCTCACAGCCTCGGTTCAACCATGAAGAGTCATGAGATACCAGAGGGCAGCCAGTAACTGTTAAACCATATCGTAGCATTGTTAGTGGCTTGAGGAGAGTGGAAGGAGAACAAAATAAAGGGTGTGTGTAAACTGCAAAGTAAATCTGTGGTTGGCTAAAAACAACCAAAAATAGATCCAAACCTGTGACCTGCAGTAACTTATCCTGAAACCTTCCTTAAATCCTCCACGCCCTGGCCCGAGGAAAGCTGCATAGACAATATACCCTGTAGTTCAAACAAGTAAGTTCATATTAAAATGTCACGATTTGTGAAGTTATCTGAATCTCTCTTTAGGCCATGTGGTTTTATATGCATGAATTGCAATTCATACTGTGTTTTTTTTTTTGAAAAGGGTCTTTTAAACCTCTTGGTTTTCAGTGGTGATTTTATGCTTTTATGTTCTTGAAGGAATGTGAATATGGGTTTTGTAGCATTGGCCTCCACTTGTTGGCACAATAATATGTTAGCCGTTCAGGCAGTCTGTTCATTGAGGTTGAGGTTTGAATCTTAAGTTTTTTTTTTTGATTGTTCAGGCTCGTAGAGTGAGGTCCAGTCGATGTGTTTTTGTTCAAAATAAATCTATAAATCCTCGTGAGGAGTCCTGTAGCTCAGTGGTTAGAATATTTGCTTTGCAAGCGAGAGACTTGGGTTCGATTCCCAGCAGGGTGAAACCTTGGGCAAGTTTCCTTACTCCACACACCTGATAATAATCCCTCAAGAAAATAAAACAATAATAAATTGGTCACTTCAAACCACGACTGTTTGTGGGACGCTGCTGTGCGCAATTGGCTGCCGCGTTTCGCCCAGAAATATACAGTCAATTCACTTTACAGTCTATTCTGTGGAGCGCTTTGAGACGTCGAGAAGACGTGAAAAGCGCTATATCAAATGCAAGGATTATTAAGCAAATTGATATGGCACATTTCACTTCGGGAAGACGTCACAAAGTGCTTTATAGGTTTCACTGTGGTGACTTTTTGGCAGGTGAACGTGGCAGCCAATTTATGCACAGCAGTGTCCCACAAACAGCTGGACCTTGGTTTGAGATTGACTCAGTTGGAGTCCTGTAGTTTAGTGGTTAGAGCACTGTCCTCACAAGCCAGAGGACCTGAGTTTGATTCCTGGGCAGGGCAGAACGTGGGGCAAGTTTCCTTACTTGCCACCCCTTTGTTCACCTAGGTTGTTAGTCGAGTGGCACATCACTTTTCCGGGGGTAATAATCCCTTTTAAAAAAAATCCGCGACTGTTTGTGGCACACTGCAGTGCACAATTGGCTGCCACGCTTCGCCTCCAAAATATACAGTCAATTAACTTCACAGTATTTTATGTGAACCACTTTGAGAGTCTCAAAGACGTGACAAGGTGCTATGTCAAATGTAAGGATTATTATTACATTTGGAGATGATTCCTGTAAACTGCTTTGAGATATTTCAACAGACGACAGTATAAAAATGCAAGCTCCTCCGATAAGGTAATTTCTTGCCTTTGCTCTGTAGACCGGACATCATGGATCAATGCCAAGCAGAACCAGTTGCAGACAGCCCCTCCCTATATTCCAGTGCCTTTGCTCAGGTTATTTTTGTCAACATGGAGAAGTCTTACATGATGGACACGCCAGTCAAATGCGACTACCTCCTGACCTCTCTGATCAACCCCAACAACAGAGATTGGATCGGAATTTTCAAGGCAAGTGGTTATTTATTTTCCTTTTGGTCAGTGGGATGTGGAACACACGCGGAAACCCATCACCACACTTTAAGAGTATCGCGTTTGCATGGACTCTCAGAGCAAGCACACTGTTCTTTCAACCCCACTGCCCTGCCCAATCCTCATGCCCCTGCAAATCTCTTTCTTTCATGTCAATGGCTGGTGGGTCGAGAACCAGAGGACACAGATTCCAGATAATTGGCAAAAGAACCACAGGAGAGATGAGGAGAATTTTTTTTACGCAACAAATTGTTACTGTCTGGAATGCACTGCCTGAAAGGGCAGTGAAAACAGATTCAATAATAACTTTCAAAAGGGAATTGGATATTTACTTGAAAAGAATATAAATTGCAGGGCTATGGGGAAAGTAGTGGGACTAGTTGGTAGCTGTTTCAAAGAGCCAACACAAATACAATGGGCCGAAAGGCCTCCTTTGTGCAGTAGGATTCTATGATTGAAACCCACAGTGTACTCTGCTTCTACCACATTATTTGTCTACTTGATCACTGAATTTGTTCAATTAGAGAGAGGGATCTCCCAAGTTATAAAACATAATCCTGTATTTCTGGTTGCATTGGATGTGGGAGAGGCTCAATGAAACTCCTTACATTAGGGAGTGAATGTGAGTCAGATTCAGACTTGCAAATGTGTGATACAATCATCCACCGTTTCAGTTTCTGTTTCCAGTTCACTGTCAGTGAGTCAGCCTGCGGCAAATAAAAATCCCTTCAAAAAAATTATTAAAAAATAATTTGGTCACTCAATCCACGACTGTTTGTGGGGGATTGCTGTGTGTAATTGGCTGCTGCGTTTCACCCACAAAATATACAGTATATTCTGTAAAGCACTTTGAGACGTCTTGAATACATGATAAGGATTATTATGTGCCCTTTTACCCTCCCAAAGGGCTGCCTGGCGTTACCAGGATTAGACCATTGATGCTTCAAGTCCAATTTGTTGACCCATGTATTACCAACTGCCCCTCATTCCAACTTCCCACCTTCTCACCATACTACTGAAGCGCCCTGGCTCAGTGGAAGCACTCACTTCCAAGTCAGATGGTTGTTGTGGGTTCAAGCCCCACATTGGGACTTTGAGTTCAGAGTTCAGGCTGACAGACCTATGCAGTGTTGGTTTGCAGCACTGTCAGCAAGATACCTTTGGATGAAAGGTTAAAGTCCTGTTTTAGGTTTTGTTTTCTTCCTTCATTATTGGTCGTTGGAACTATCTTGTGTGCGAAGAGAATCTGTGGAGTCCCATAGTGCAGTGGTTAGAGCACTCACCTCACAAGCGAGAGGTCCCAAGTTCGATTCCTGGGCAGGGAGCAACGTTAGGCAAGTTTCCTTACTCTACACGCCTCTGTTCAACTAGCAATAAGTATGAACCCGGTTGTTAGTCGATTGGCAGATTGCTTTCCAGGGGTAATAATCCCTTCAAAATAAATAATTTGGTCACTCTATCCATGACTGTTTGCTGGATATTGCCGTGCGCAATTGGCTACCACGTTTTATGCACAAAACACAGTCAATATACTTACAGTATATTCTGTGAAGGGTTTGTGAGACCACTCACAGCCATTATAAAGCGCTATATCAAATGCAAGGATTATTATTGTATTATCAAAGTGATTTTTTTTCGACTCTAGGTTGGCTGGAGCACTGCTCGTGATTACCACACTTTCGTGTGGGCCCCTTTACCCAAGGGAGACCAGCGGCAACAGCAGGTGACGTTTGAAGGTAAAACGGTTGGACACTTTCTATGCTTTTTTTTCCAACTGAAGGCTTTTGAGGATTCAGTGAAACCAGGTTATAATGTGTTTCACTGAGGCGCAAATTCACCCTGAATCTCCTCCCTTCACAAGGAGAACAAAAGGAGAGCTTAGGAGAATGTTTTTCACCCAGTGTTGTTGGGACAAGGAATGCCCTGTCAATCCAGGTGGTAGAGTCCATTATTTCAAGAGGGAAGTAGACAGGTACATGAAAGATACAGACTTGAAGGGGTGTGGGGATAGGACACCACAGTGGGCTTGAATGAACACCTTGCTCTTGAGAGCAGCTCTTGATGAGCTGAATGGCCTTTTCCGCTGTGAATTTCTAATAATAATAATAATCCTTGCATTTGATATAGCGCCTTATCATGTCTTTGAGATGTCCTAAAGCTCTTCACTGAATATAATGTAAGGTGAATTGACTATATTTTGTGGGCGAAACGCAGCAGCCCATTGCACACAGCAGTGTCCCACAAATCGTTGTGGATTGAGCGACATGATTATTATTATTATTTCCATGACTCTATGCATAGCCAGCCCTTGTGCTGGCCAGCTTTTGGCACCAATACGGCTGACTCCTGTGTCATTAGGTTGATGTTAACATTATTTCCTGCTAAGTGTTGATGGAACTGACCTTGTTTCACCCAGCGTACTGGCATACAATCCCTGGATTAAAAATGTCCATTCACGTCATGGTTGTACGTAGGAAAATGGTGTGTCCAAATTGGCTGCTGCGTTCACCTGCGAATAACCAGTCACTGCACTTTATGACATGACATGTCACGTAAATACCAGGAAGGTGGAAAGCGAACTAGATGGACTTTTTTCTTTGTTTTTTGTCTGGCATTTCTTCCGTTCTAAATGCAAAGATTATTGCAACTTTTTGCAATTTTTATTTTTACCTTCTAGCTTATTACCTACCGAAAGAGGACAATGACTTTTACCAATTCTGCTACGTGACCCACAAGGGGGAGATCCGTGGGGCGAGCACACCAATAGGCTTCAGGCAGCCTGGCACCATCACTGTAGACGTCTCAGACAATCAGGAAATGCTGGTCATCACCACCCAGGTCAGTTTCTGCCTTATGCTGCCGATCCTCAGTTATCTGGTCACCGCCCCCTTGCCCTGGCTCAGCGTCGTTCTCCGTCACTGTCGAGTGCTCTGGGACGCTGCTCTGCAAGAGTAATTCAAGTTGGTGGTGGTGTGCACAGTTACATCTGGTAAAACCATTGTGACTGATTTGGCCACTGGATTATTTTGCCTACAAATTTCTCCCCTTCATGCTAACCCTAGATTTCAAAGGGGACTAGATAAATACCTAAACCGGAGTAAGCTACCGGTGTTTCGGAAAAGGACACATGATTGGGACTGAAAGGATTGCTCTTAAAAGAGCCAGCGTAGACAAGATGGCCCGAATGGCCACTTTCTGTTCTCTGCGTGTATATTGTTTATGAAAGTGTTCACATTCCATGTTTCTCTTACTGAGATACACAGTCACTAAACTCTACAGTGAAGTGCTTCGAGACATCCTCCTCACGTGAAAGGCATTATATCAGATGTAAGTTACTAGGATTATTATAATTCCCTGAAATGTTTGTGAAACAGGAGCAAATTGAAGAAGTCGAGAAGGAAAAAGCGGCACTGGAGCTTAACAACACAACACTGACAGAGGAAAACACTGTCCTGAAGGCAAAGATCGAAGGATTTGAAAAGCAAGTGGAACACGCAAAGGAAGCTTATTCATCAGCTTTAGAGAAGTCTAAGGTATGTTATAACAGTAGCCACACACCCAGCTACACTGGCATAATCTAAAAGGCAAACGTATCCATGATTCAGAACTGTACGGACTACATTTGCTGTCTGATTGAGACACAGCAAAGGTGGGTGATGAAAAAATGGGTATGTTACACTGGTGAAGTTGGGGTAGTGAGGTTGGTTGGGTTTTATGAGATCAGAGTTCCCTAACCTGGGGCTGCCTATGTATAAGAAGTTTTATTTCTGCTACAACAACTACTTTAATTTATACAGCGCCCTTCACGAGGGTGAGCATCCCGGAGCGCTTCTGCTACACATGATAGGCAGACGTAATCATTCCTCTGTAACAATCATTCGATCCCCAGCACTGATTGATCAGAATGAAATTCGCATTGATTCGAATGAAATTTGCAGGAAAAAAATGGAACAATCTTTGAGTAAATCTTTCTGATTAAGTGTTTTAAAGGTTGAATGAGTTCCCCAGAAGAAAAGAACTTGAGATCTAGAAAATGGCAAATAGGATTTAAGTTTAATTTGGAAGAAATAAATCCTTTAGATCTAACTCTGCACTCACTCCATCCTAAAATGCTGACCGAGTTTACTGTAGTTCATAGCAAGGTGCTATTGCAATACAATTATGTCCTCCATTGGAGATCACTCCAGTAACTGGATTTGTGTGCAGTAGATACAACTCCCTCCTATTTGTACACAACAGGACGACCTCAAATCAATGGAGAAACAGGTGTTGGAACAAAAGGAGAAGCATGAGGTGGAAAACAAAATATTGTGTGAAAAGGCAGATCAACTTGAGAAGCAGTTGACTCAGAAGAAGGAAGAATACCTAACAGCACAGAAGGCAAACCAGGTAAACACGACTGTCCAGTAGGGGTATGGCTCTTTACCCTGTTCAAATCATTTGTTGGCTTTAGGATGGCTTATAGACGTGCAAGGGTTAATTAAATTTGTGACCTTGTGGTGAAGTAAGGACCGACACAAATTCTTCAATCAATTCATATTTATTAATACAAATTAGTAAAGAAATGCGTTTCCTCAAATCAAATGTATGCTTACGACATTTCACCAAAATGGGTTGATCGGATCAGTATAGTGGCTTTGATGTCAGAATTGGCTTGTTAACGTACATCAATTGTAATACACCCACTTTCCTCGAGATTGGTTGTGATTAACTGCTCCAGTCTCTTCTCCGATATAATCCAAAAAATGTCTTTTTTTTTTACACATACCTTTTTGGTCACATACGTCAGTCTGTTCAATGTGTTGTTAGAAACACCAGCTGCAAACCAAGAACAAACTTATATCAAAATTCCAACAGCTTGTTTGAAAACAAGTCTTTGTCCCACGATGATTTTGAAGAAAATGTGCTTCCACCATCCTTGGCTTTCAAACAGCTGCAGCTTTCCAGAAGTAAAACAAGTCAATGAGTCTTCGCGAATTTTGGTCAACCCTTTGGTCAACTCAAGTAATCTAGAATTCTGGGACTCTTCCATCTTCCTCATCTCTCCAACTTCATGTGTTTGTTTCCTCTTTTTAGACTGGATTCGAACGTCTGCATTCATAAGTCTGTTTTCTTTCCTCATCTAGGAGCTGCAGGAGAAATTGGAGTCAGCACAAACCACCATCGAGCAGTCTAAGCAGATGTACGAGAAAGCTATGGATAAGCTGGAGCAAGTCAAGCAAGAAACCGAGGCACTCAAAGCAGAAATTGCTGCATACAAGACTGAACTGGGCAGGTACGGCTCCCACACATCTATAGCTAGTTTGTTGCTTTCATTGAGCACAGGGATGCATATTCAAAACAGGAACTTTACATAGCAACCACACAGTGTGAGGTATGTCCAGTTATGGGACAAAGCCTACTTTATGGCTTTAGTTTCTAGAGCTAAGCCGATACTGTGCTTTCAATTCTGCCTTGAACTTCCTAGTTGTTTCCTGACCTGTCTCCTTGGAGCTAGTTCAACTCCTAGAGATCCCACACTTGTCACCCTCTCATTCAGGATGATGTTGCTCAACCATGGCACAGTACTCTTTATTGTACTTGAAAGAGGGAAGGGCTGAATGGATCATCCAGGATTTCAACCCAATTATTCCTGGTTCGGGATTTGTTGCTGAACCAAGTAACTTTGCTAAGATTTCTGTCAGTGTAGCTCAGTTGATAACACTCTTATCTCTTGAGTCAGAAGTTTGTAGGTTCAAGCCATACGTCGGCATTATTGGTGTCTTTTAGGTAGCTAGTTGCTGGAGCAGTACCTCAATGTACACTCTGGGGTCTAGGTTTTGGCTCTGGCCAACTTGTGCCTAAACACACTAGGATTATATCAGAAAATTGTGGGAGTTCACACTTTATACCAAAGGGAAATTTCCAGACCTTTGCAAAACTCTTGAGTAGGTTGTTTTCAAGAATGGTAATGAGTTTCATGTTGTCAAACACCTGGCTGACCACAAAAGAAGATAAACAGACTCCTCCGATGGAATGTAAAACCTCTACTTTTCACTTCTAGTGTGACGAACATGAAGAGCCAGGCATTAAGTGAACTTGAAATAGCTCAGGTAAGATGGTTTTGTTTGCAGATTGTTGAATTACTTCTATATCCCATGATGTATGAGGGAAGCACAGATCCAAAACTCATATAGAGTATAAAGGTAATTGTGGATGAACTCCATGAGAGTCAGACAAATGAGATGTAAGGAAACCATGAGGTCCACTCAACCTCCAACCTTGTTTATAATGAGATTTGGTTAGAGCTTTCACCTTGCATGTGAGAGGAACCTGGTTCAGTCCTCGGGCAGGGCAAAACCTTTGGCAAGTTTCCTTACTCCACAGACCTCTGTTTACCTAGCTGTAAGTAGGAACCTGGTTGTTAGTTGATTGGTGGATCGCTTTCTGTGGGGGATAATCCTTTAAAAAAATTATAATTTTTCACATACATCCTGGAAAATAAAAACCTAAATGGGGTAGAGGAGCAAAGGGATCTGGGGGTACATATACACAATTCACTAAAAGTAGCAACGCAGGTTAATAAGGTCATAAAAAAGCAAACCAGGCATTAGGGTTAATTTCTAGAGAGATAGAAATGAAAAGCAGGGAAGTTATGGTAAACTGCTATAGAACCTTGGTTAGACTATACTTAGAATAAGAACATAAGAATTAGGAGCAGGAGTAGGCCATTCGGCCCCTCGAGCCTGTGCCCCGCCATTCGATAAGATCATGGCTGATTTTCAGACCTAACTCTAATTACCTGTTTGTGGGACACTCCTGTGCGCAACTGGTGCCGTGTTTTGCCCACAATATATACAATCAATTCACTTTACACTATATGTGAATTGCATTGAGATGTCTCGAAGACGTGATAAGGCTCTATATCAAATGCAAGGGTTATTATATTATTTGCCTCTCTATCAGCAGTTTATTTTCTTGTAAGACACCAAATTCCACCACAAGTGGTCCATAACGAGGGGGCATGAGTTTAGGAGGAGCTTCTTTACACAGAGAGTGGTGAGAACGTGGAATTTGTTATTGAAGCAGAAAGTATCAATGCTTTTAGGAGGAATCTCATTATGTACATGAGGGGCAAAGGAATAAAGGACAATAGGGGAGGGTAGGCAGAAAGGGTGGAGGCTCAAATGGACTGAATGGTTTATGTGATTCAATTCAACTCTTTTTCCCGCAGTCTGATCTGCACATTCTGAGGAAAGAAAACCAGGAGTTGACCAAGCATCTCCAGAAAGCGGTCAAAGTTGAGGATCAGATGGGGCGTTCCACAGAGGAGACCTGTATGCCAGACACAGGGAAATTTCCAGACCGTCGCAAAACCGAATACGAGAATCTGAGGAAGAAATGCAAAATCACTGATAGTGACAAGGTAGCAGCCCTTTACATTTCAGAATCCACCAGCCCATTTTCTTTGCTTTCCAAGGGAAATAATCCCCACCCCTCCACAATATATAATAATAATAATAATCACTCAATCCGCGCCTGTATGCGGGACATTGGCAATTGGCTGTTACATTTCGCCCACAAAATACACAATCAATCCACTTTGTGATCTACTCTGCAGCTCGTGTCCTCTCCAGCACCAGGCTACGTGACCACATCTCACCCACCCTGGTCCTGTACACATCTGTCCTTCCTCTTTCACAGGAGCAATTGGATAATCTCTGCCAAATCTTGAAATTCACGGAGGAGGAGTTGCAGGTGGCCAAATGCAGGGAGGCGCAAACAGCCGCTAACCTGCGTGCATCAGAGGTTGTCAGAGAATCGAGCGCTGCTGAGCTCTGTATCGCTCGTCAAGACATCCAACTCTGGAAAAACAACTTTGACAAGATCCAGCAAAATCTCTCCAAGAACGAGGTAACCTCGGCAGGGAGGAGACTGAATCTAATCACTTTGAATTTGAAGCTGCTGCCCATTGTACAATGAGCTACGTAACACAGGAAGGTCCTCGGTTTAATTTACCTGTCGGCTGTCAGCTGGTCTCAGGCACAATTCCTTCTACCCACCAGAGGAATCTGAGGTGGAAGGAATGTTAATTACGAAAAACATTGAAGCCCTGGCTCTGCTCTAGTGACGCGAGAGAGCTGGTGTGACTGACAGACTGCTTGCTACTCACCCAATAATGACTGGACTTGATGGACAGGTTAGACTTCTCAACACTCACCCATCACAGTGAATGGAGTCAATTAGCCAAACCCTCCTGTGGGAGCGCTTTGTGCAGTTCTTGCTTTACTGCTTTTGTTTTCACGAATTAAGTAACTTTGGGATTAGATGTTGCTTTTGTTCTTTGTGATTGTCTCAATCGATTGGTTTAGCCAACCCAATGGTGACTGTAGCCGGTGTTTGGGGTGATGGTGACTGTAGCTGGTGTTTGGGGTGATGCTCACTGGAGCTGGTGTTTGGGGTGATGGTGACTGTAGCTGGTGTTTGGGCTGATGCTGACTGTTGCCGGTCGGGGCTGTTTGTGTCCCAACTATTTTCAAGCGATCTAATCAGCTAAGACTGGCTTCCATGAACACCAATAAATATGGCTTCGGGTTTTCAGGAAAAAACAAATAATATCTGTAGTGTCTACCTTTCCCTTCTTATTTTGGGCGATTTATTTTGGGTTTAGAAAAATGCCTGAATTTCAGGTCATGAGGTAACGACTGCAGAAGCTAACTAAGCGCAGGTGGTTCCTGCAATATTGGGGGGGGGGGGGGGGCTGCCTGCTCTGATCACAGGAAATGTCATCCGTGTACAGGAAGTGACATCTTTGATGATCCTTACAATCTGAGTTTATGATCCTTCACTACAATATTTACTATAATAATAATACTTGCATTTGATATAATGCTTTACATGTCCTCAATGTCTCAAAGAGCTTCACAGGATTTTACTATAGCGTGTAATGACTATTTATAGGAATGAAGACATTCCGCATCCTAATAACCATTGTGTTAATACCTCTTCTAAACTTAAATCTGCATTTTATGTCCCATCTGTTCTCCTGTCTTAATTCCATTCAATGCATGGGTCCACATCATACCAGGGTTAAAGAGAGACTGAAAGTCCCACCCATATAGAGTAGTAATAATAATAATAATCCTTGAATTTGATATAGCACCTTATCATGTCTTTGAGACTTCTCAAAGCGCTTCACAGAATATGCCATAAAGTGAATTGATTGTATATTTTGTGGGCAAAACACGGCAGTCAATTGCGCACAGCAGCATCCCACAAACAGTCATGGATTGAGTGACCAATTTTTTTATTAAAAAAATGTTTTTAAAGAATTATTGCCCCCGGAAGAGTGATCCACCAATCAACTAACAACTGGGTTCCTACTTATTGCTAGGTAAACAGAGGTGTGTTGAGAATGGAAACTTGCCCAAAATTTCACCCTGCTGGTAATCGAACCCAGGTCCCTCGCTTGCAAGGCAAGTGCTTGAACCACTGAGCTACAGGACTCCACGATATAGTGGGTCATTACTGACTAAAAGATTGGAATGGGGTCACCAGGATGAGTGGCTTGGGCCAGGACACCAGATTCATTTAAAAGAAAGTTTTTTTAAAAAAAAAGCTTGGTTTTGGGATGGAAACACCATAGGTTAGGTATTCTGGAAAGATAAGGTAAAATAGTCTGAAGAGCTTTCTTCATCCAAACCAGTCTTATGATCTGATGAATATTTTCTTCCAATAGTGTCCTAATTGCAATGTAATCCTGACGAATAGGAACCAGGTCGATCCCAGGGAACTCTGTGCAAATGTACAAAATGCTTGTGTTGTGCTCGTAGGCTGGTACTGAGGGAGGAAGCTCCATCAACCACCCACTGCAGAAGGAGATTGCCAACTTAAAGTCTAAGCTACTGACCGGGAAATCTTGTTATGTACAAAAATACAAGGAATGCCAGAAACTGCACAAACAGATTGACAGGTTGAAAGTCTTATTGGTAGGTTGATTGAGTCTAGGTGAGTGAGTATACATCAGATTAAGTAAAGATAAGGTTATTAGTTTTATTTAATGTATATATTTCCCTTCCGCCCCCCCACCACCACACACACTCACCATCCAATAGGCTACATAGTGGGAGTTTCACTTTGACGTGGAGTGTATGACACAAGCCGAGTTCATTCATCAAATTGTCATTCTATTTATCAGTATGGTGTTGGGTCATCTCTTGAGATACTCCATCTAACCTGGTAGACTTGAGTTGTGTTAGGCTTTCTGAATTATCTGTTTTATTACCAATGCCATCAACCTTCAGGACTTGAAGGCAGAACTCGGGTCCTCATTCAATTTTAACTTGTAAAGAAAATGGTAGATTATGTTTTCCCCCAATGTATTCAATGTAAGAAACTCTGAATGCTCCATGGGTTGAACAGGGTTGATCCACTCACCTCTATGAAGAGATGTACGTAGCTCCTACCAACTAAGCCAAAATGGGCAGAAATTAGCCTATCACCCCATCCTTACCCAGCTCCACCTGTTCCCCGTTCTCCCAGAGGATTGAGTTCACGATCTTCATCGTCAGTCCCTTCTGTGACCTTCTTAAACCCTACTAACCTGCACGCTCCCTCTGCTTGGCAGGCACTGACCTGCCTCACATCCCTGCCTTACTCGCCCCACCATTGATAGTTGGGCTATCAGCCTATATGCCCACACTCTCTGGAACTCCATGCCAGAGTCCCTTTGGCTCACCTCTTCCCTTGCCTCACTCAAGGTCCATCTCAAGACCTTCCTCTTTGACCGTGCGTTCGGTCAACTTCCCCCCACCCCCCCTTATCCTCACACCTCCTGAATCAATCCCCCAGCTCGGATGCCATGGGACATATTCCTGACATGAAAGACATGGTACAAAGAAATGCAATTTATTATTGTTACTAAGAGGGATGAGTGGCGGGGGTGGGGGGGAAACGATTCGAGCCAGAACACTGGACTTGTGTATAAAATACAATGGGAAGAGGGTTGTGTGGGTGTTCTGGAAAGATAGCGTTAGGTGGGCCACAAAGGAATCTTCTTCATCAAAGTCTCTCATGATCTTGAGTCCCAGTTGGGTCCCTGTGCAGAAAGAGCTACAGATTCTGTGCATACAAAAGAGAGTGGCAATGATTTCCCTCCATATTGACATGACCCCATGTTGATCATTGAGCCATTGGTAATGTGCTAATGGCACAGAGTTTCCAACCAGAAATGCGGGATGTGCTGAGCACAGTCAACGCCAGCCTTTCAGATGAACTAGCTCACAAGTGGCGCACACCCCTAAACGAAGTAACCTACATGGAATGTATCGATGTCAATAACACATCAAGATCCCTTTGATTTTAGAATGCAAAGAAATGTCCTGCTGTACACCAGGAAATGAGGAATAAGGTTCAATCTGCGATCAAGGAGCTAGTTGAGGACACGGATGAATTAGAAACAGGTAGAGGACAGTACAGTTGAGCAAATTATTTCCAGAGATGAATAATAACACTTTGTTATTTTAAAAATGTTTCCAAGACGCCCTGGAAAATGAATACAGCGGCAATTTTACAATAACAATAATCTTGCATTTTGAGATGTCTCAAACCACTTCACAGTGTATATGTAAAGTGAATTGACTATATTTTGTGGGCAAATTCAACAGCCAATTGCGCACAGCAGTGTTCCACAAATAGTTGTGGATTGAGGACCAAATTATTATTTTTTGTTTGTTTATTTGAAGGGTTTATTACTTCAACTTCAACAGTCTCATGTGTATAGCGCATTTCAGGTTGGGAGGACATCCCAAAGCGCTGGACAATCAGTGTTTCGGACCCAAGCTGGGGGTAAGGAGGGTGGAGAGCAGGGGGAGATGGAGGGTGATCGAAGGCACGGTTGAAGACGAGGGTCTTGAGATGGGTCTTGAAGGAGGCAAGGGAGGGGACGAGGCAGAGGGACTATGGGATGGAGTTCCAGAGGATGGGGACAGAGTGGCTGAAGTCCCGCCCGCCAATGATGGGGTGGGCAAGATGGGGGACCTGAAGCAGGCTGGAGCCCGCTGAGCAGAGGGAGCGGGTAGGTACATATTACTCCCACAAAAGCAATCCGCCAATCGACAAACAAACAGGTTCTTACTTGCTGCTAGGTAAACCAAGGCATGTGGAGTAAGGAATGTTGCCTAAGGTTTGTCCTTCCTGGGAACGAACCCAGGTCCTCTTGGTTGAATGGCGAGTGCTCTAACCAATACACTACAGGACTTCACCAATACACTACACGACTATACATTTGTACAGCACCTATCACATTGGGAGAATGTCTCAGAGGGTTGGATTTGGGAGTGGGTGAGAGCCAAGTGAGGTGTGGGGGTGACAGGGGAAAGATGATTGAAAATGTGGTCAAAGAGGAAGGTCTTAAAGGGGGTAAGGGTGAGGAGAATGGACTATGGGATGGAGTTTCACGGATTCATCTGAGACTCTGAACTGGGGAAGCAGAGAGGGGAATGTTACCAAAAGAAAGTCAAGATGGGCTTTAAAGATTGGGGGTGGGGTGCGGGTGAAGGAAAAAGGAGGCAGGCAGAGGAACCCTGGATGGAGTTCCAGAGAGTGGCGTTAGATGGCTAAAAACTTGTCTTCTGATACGGGGAGTGGGGGGGTGAAGAGGGGTGGAATCACTCCTATCGCTATCGAGCACTGGAAAGTTCTTGTGTGCGGAGATTGGGAGAGGACAGAATCTGGCTCTGGTGCAAGATTTATATTTATTTCCATCTCCTCTTTCCCTCCGCGCCAGCCAGTGTTCACGTGTGTGAGATCGGGCTGCTGCTATTTACTGCCCAGGCTCACACGCAAAGACTATCTGGTGGGAAAAGGTGCCAGAGAGTGAGCAGCAGCCATGAACCAATCGCCCACTGCCACGAGCAGCTGAACTCGCTGTGAACTGAACAAAAAAAAGCAGCAAACGTCAATCTTTGTTTCTTTGCAATTAGTCAAGTCTGTTAGGTATGAAGTGCAAGGGTTATTGTTATTATAAGTTGCCAGGTCTGTGTCGCAGAGAATCAGTGAAGCTGGAAAGAGCGATTGAGCAGGCAAAGATCACAGCGTTTACACCTCAGGGACGTAAAGTGCATCTCCACAGAACCGTAGAAATTTACAGCAAAGGAAAGTAGGAACAGGAGGAGGCCATTCAGCCCTTCGAGCCTGTTCCAAAAGGAGGACAGAAAAAGAAGGATATTCAACCCATCGTGTGTCTGATAGCTCTTTTAAAGAACAATCTGTTCAGTCCTATTTACCTGCATTTATCCCTGTACCTCTGCAATTTCCTTCCCTCCGGCAGTCCTCATATAGGTCCTTCCAACTTTAGCAGATCTCCGCTCCTAAGAGTTATTGTGGATTGGGCTAACCTAACGGACATGAGGAGTCTGCACTTTCATAGCACTGAACACTATTGAGCACTTTAATAGTCTCAATAAAGCTAATCCCATCACCAGCTCATGGTACGTGTACACTCCAAAGATCCCGAACCTGAAAAGTGTTCCTCTGTCCACATCCCAATCCAGACTTTGAACTTGCATTCTTTTATTGCATTGGTTATTAATGTTGGATCGGTTATTAATCGATTTGGCATGTGTGTTGCTGACCCGTGGAGACCGCGTTGCAAGCTGTTGCCTCTTGTCTCCTCATCCACTCATCATCTCGTCCTCTTTTACTCCACTAACGAAGCAGGTTCAGGGGGGGTGACTGTGCAACAGCCTGGGACTCAGTTAGCTGAAGTACAGACAGGGATCAGGGCGAAGGCAGCAGAGGCAATGGTGAGTAATTTTATGTGCTGACAGTTTCATTAGTCAACAACAACCACTTGCATTTATATAGCGCCCTGCGTGCAGGGTAGCTTCCCAGAGCACTTGACAGTGGCTGAGTCTGACACCGAGCAGAGGGAGGGGGGAGGTGACTGTAAGCCCGATCAAAAAGGAAGGTCTTTAGGTGTGATTTGAAGGTGGGGAGCGAGGGGGGTCAGGCAGAGGGATTGAGGGAGAGAGTCCCAGAGTTTTGGGGCCTAGTGGCTGAAGGCACGGCCACCGATGGTAGAGCGGAGGGAATGAGGGACAACTCTCTGATTGTGTGTAAAGTTTGGAGACTGAAATAAGCCACTGGTAGATTTTTGAACATTAAATAGTGGTACCTTGGGAGGACATTGGGTTTGTAGGCTTTATTGATTCCGAAATATAATAGTTATAATTAATTAATTCCTGCAATTATTTATATATATATATATATATATGTATTTATATATAATTTGGTCTCTTGATTCCCAAGTCCTGCCAATGCGTCTTCGCTTGTCTGTTATTTAGCAGTTTCCTGGAGTGCTGTGGGTTCAGGACCAGACTAGATACTGCCACAGGGGATTGACTCGATTCTGATATTACGTTGCTTTTGTTATTTCACCTATAACTTCAAAACGTTTCCAAGCACTTCATAGGGAATAGCTCTCCCATGTAGTGGCTGTTGGCAAACGTGACAGTCAATTAGACACTGAGGTCTCAAGGCCATAAAGTGAATGATTAATTTATCCGAATAATTGTTGGCCAGGATATCGCAGAAACTCATTTCTCTTTCTGAATAGCATTGCGGGATAATAATTTGATCCAGCACCTTTCACGTTGAGAGGATGTCTCAAAGTCCTTCACAGGATTTGATGTAGAGTGTAGTAACTCTGTATTTGTAGGCAAAACCAGCAGCTATTTTTCACACAGCTATGTCCTACAAACTGTCAAACAGTGAGGCACCACTGTTTGTTGGCCAGGGCACCGGGAGAAATGTTCTACCTTTTTTTGAACAATCCAATCAGATTGTGAACGTCGACCTGAACAGGCCTCGGTTTATTGTCTCATCCAAAGGACGTCTTCAGTGTATCTCGAGCACTGCATTGGAATGTCAGCCTTGACCAGGGATGGCTAACCTGCTAGTTTTTTCCCATCCATGCAGAGTGCAGTCCGAATCCAGCCCACACATTCACCATCCCTGACCTCGACTGTGCAAGTTTAAAGTCCTGATGTGGAGCTTGAACCCACAACTTTCTGACTTGGAGGCAAGAGTGCTACCACCTGAGCCAGACACCTGGTCAGGATGTTGCTGATCATATGATACAAACACAATTAACGTTGAATACAACTGGCCTGCAGTGTTCCTCCTCCGAGGATCCAAGTGATCAGGTCCTTCCTTTGGTCCAGCGTTCCTGACTTTTGCCCCCCCCCCCACCACCCCAAAAACAATGCTTGCACTTGATATTGCACACAATAAGGTCCTACAAAAATGTCATTTTTCATAGGAATTCCTGGACGAAAAAAGACCAAGGTCCATCAAGCCCACGTTCTACCATCTTGTTAGTCGCATGCTATAATAATGGAGATGTTGAAAGTAATTAATTCTGTATGGATTAGTCTACAACACAGTGGAAAGGTTTGCGAACTGGCGATTCAAAGTTGCCTAGTTCTTCCAAGCGTACTACACTTGTCATGAAGGTGATTTTGTGAGATTTTTTTTTCCTCTTCCAGATCAGATTTACGGAAATGGAAGAAGACCTTCAACAGAAGAACAGCATCGTGGAGATTCGCACAATGGAAGTGTCTGAGTTAAGCCAAGAAATTGAGGTCAGCTCTGTGTAACACCCTGTCAGGAATTTACTCTATCCCACATCTCTCTCCCCCAAGAGCCTTGTAGTATATTGGTTAGAGCGCTCGCCTTGCAAGCGAGAGGACCCAGGTTCAATTCCCAGACAGGGCAAAACCTTAGGCAAATTTCCTTACTCCACACCTGGTTGTTAGTCGATTGCCAAATCGCTTTCCGGGCATAATAATCCTTTCAAAATAAGAATAATAAGAATAATTTGGTCACTCAATCCACAACTGTTTGTGGAACTCTCCTGTGTGCAATTGGCTGCCGTGTTTCGCCCACAAAGTATACAATCAAGTCACTTTACGATATATTCTGTGACATGCTTTGAGACGTCTCAACGATGTGATAAGGTGCTGTATCATTGCAAGGATATTTAAAAAATGATTCAATGGACAAAAGGTCATTTTCATCTGAACCCAATGAAGTCACCTGTGCTAATCTTAATGCCAAACTCTTTCCCCATACTGTCTACTCCCCTTTTTAGATAATAATCCTTGTGTTTGACATAGCGCTTTATCACTTCTTTGATACGTCTCAGAGCACTTCACAGAAAATGCTGTAAAGTGAATTGACTGTATATTTTGTGGGCGAAACACGGCAGCCAATTGCGCACAGCAGTGTCCCACAAACAGTCGCGGATTGAAGTGACCAATTTATTATCATTTTTTTTTAAAGGAATTATTACCCCCAGAAAAGCGATCCGCCAATCGGCTAACAACTGGGTTCCTACTTCCTGCTAGATAAACAGAGGCGTGTGGAGTAAGGAAACTTGCCCAACATTTTTGGATGCTTAAACTAATTCAATTATTAGTTATCTATGCACTATATAAATGCAAGTTGTTGTTATCTGATCATGTTAATTGCCCAATGCTCCCTACGTGAATTTCAAAATAAAATCTAAAAAACTTTGCAACAATTTTTTTTAAATGTTATAAAAAAAATTATGTTGAAAAATTCCTCACCCATTCCTGCTCCCCCAGCACTTCTCCCTCTGTGACGGCAAATAATAGACTTGAGTTTCTTTCACAGAGGCTGACTAGCAAGATTGATGAGCTAAAAGCCAACTCAGCTCCTCGGGGAAGAATCTTCCACTTGGAACATCCCAATCCCTATGGTGTGCCTGTTCCAGTAACCCAGCCCTCACAATCCGGGCTCCATTATGGCAACCCTTACACTGAGAGAGGTACGTGCATCACATCACTTTGCACTCACACTTTCATTTGAGTACCAGTCACGATATCAAACCTGTTGTGTTCTAATAATCTTGATTGGTCAACGTGTTTAATTCTCCTTTACTTTCCTCCGTTCCCCGATTGTGTGTCCCTAACCCTGTTCTGAAGATATTGAAATGGGGTGTGGCGTTGGCACCCTCCACCTCCAGTAACCTCCAGTGAGGTGCCTGTGCTTGATAAGCAAGTCCAGACAGTAAGCATTAACAGATCATTTTTCTGGGGAAGAGAGTGTATCACTCTGAGTTCAATTCCCGGCCAGGGCGAAACATTTACTCCACCCGCCTCTGTTTACCGAGCAATAAGTAGGAACCCGGTTGTTGGTAGATTGGCAGATCGCTTTTCCAGGGATAATACTCCCTTGGGATGTCCTCCAAACGTGAAAAAAGGCTATTTGGTGACACAATCAATGACTGTTTGTGGGACGTTGCTGTGCGCAATTGGCTGCCGCGTTCGCCCACAAATATACAGTCAATTCACTTTACAGTGTGTTCTGTGAAGCGCTTTGGGACGTCCTCCCGACGTGAAAAGCGCTATATCAAATGCAAGGTTTATTATTATTATTATTATATCAAATGCAAGGATTATTGTTATTACGGGATGTTTTTTCCCCACACAGGGTTTGGGAGATGGGGATCACCTGCAAGATAGAGGGATGGGAAAGGAAAACAGGACTGAGAGAGGAGCCTAAGCTGTTAGTTTTCTCCAGTCGCTAATGCGTCTTAACATTACTGAGGAAAGAGAGAGCGAGTGAGAGATGGACAGTGAGGGAAAAATAGACATTCAACGTTCCAGTCTACAGTTTCATCAATAAAGAGTCCAAAGCTGATGAGCTTGCCTGAGGCGTTGTGATTTTATGTGTATGTGGGTGTGTGTGTGGGTGAGTGTGTATGTGGGTGGGGGTGGGTGGGAGTAATGTGTGTGTAGGTGTCAACTAAGCAATGAAACGCTTCAATCCAATAACTTCCCGGTGTTTATCTGCACATTCTTGAAAGCTAAAGCGACTCGTCTCCTCTCATCCCAGATGTTTTATTAGTTCTGGCTTTTCTTTTCCTTCTTTCAGATATGCCGACCGGATCCGCCATTCCAGCTGAAGGCATGGTAACTGAATGTAGATTCTATCTACTTTTTATTGATTGTTTTGTTTGTCCTGTGGGGGGGCTTGAGTAGGAGGGGGAGGCTGCCTGGCCAAGATTGAGGTGTTAACGGTTGTTGAGTTTGCTTTATGCTACAATCAAGGCTTGAAGTTACCAACTTTTAGACCAACATGATATAAGGAGGTGGCGAGTTACCTTGAATGTTAAGGGATGGCAGTAAGTAGGAACCCAGTTGGTAATCGATTGATGGATCGGTTTTCCGGGGGTAATAATCCCCTCTAAATAAATAAATAAATAAAAATAATTTGGACATTTAATCCATGATTGTTTGTGGGACGTTGCTGTACGCAATTGTCTGCCGCATTTTGCCCATAATATATACAGTCAATTCACTTTACAGTATATCCTGTGACGCTTTTCGAAGTCGCGATGAGACGTTATACCAAATGCAAGGATTATTATTATTATATTGGAGCAGACCAGCTCGTTCCCTGTGCACCATTCTTCTTAAACAAAAACTGTCGTCCAGGTCGCTGCCGATGTCACTTCCTGCTTTACGTTTGCGCAGCAAAGAGGTGATGGTGACCTAATGAGCCAAGTTGGCCATTTTAGCAAGAATGCCAACCCTGGGGTGGCCAATAACTGGGGAGAGTCAAGAGTTTAGCTTTCGTGTTTCATGTAATTATTGTTGTCAACTGAAGCGGAGCAGCTCAAACTAGTCTTTGTTGTTACCTCACACAGGAGAGTGTCGCGGAGAAAGAGGATCAAAATTCCAGGTACATTTTGTTTCTTCTACCCCTTCCTTCAACCCTTTCCATACCTCCTCTCCTAAGGGCTGTGGCGTATTGGTTATAACACTCGGCTCATAAGCGAGACAACCCGGGTTCGATTCCGGGGCAGGGAGAAACCTTAGGTAGTTCTCCTTACTCTGCAAAGCCTCTGTTTACCTAAGCAGGAACCCGGTTGTCAGTCGATTGCTGGATCACTTTCTGGGGGTAATAATCGCTTCAAAAAAATATATTATAATAATTTGGTCACAACTGTTTATGGGACACTGCTGTCTCTTCAATCGGCTTCTCCTCCCGCCCAGTAACCTATGGCATACCCCAAGGCTGCATCGTTGGCCCCCTCCTTCCTCATCTCTATGCTCCCTCTTGGCAGTGTCGTTCACAGACTTCCACATGTATGTGGATGACATACAAATCTACTTCTCCTCTAGCTGCGACTCCAGGTCCGACAATGTTCTGTCGGCTTGTCTGACAGACATCAGGGCCTGGATGAGCGCAAACTTCTTACAACTAAATGTTGACAAGACAGAAGCCATGTTCCTTGGCACCCATCAACGTCTTCTGTGCTGCGGCTCTGACCTCTTCAACGTCCCTGGCCTATCCCTCAGACTCACCAAAACGGTGCAAATTCTCTTTGACCGTGCCTTCAGCTCCCCTCTCGACTCTCTTCCTCCTCCTCGCTCCCTCCCTTCCCTCCCCTCACCCTGACCATTTCCCCCCTCCTCTCTCCCTCCCTTCCCTCCCCTCACCCTGACCATTTCCCCCCTCCTCTCTCCCTCCCTTCCCTCCCCTCACCCTGACCATTTCCCCCCTGCTCGGGTCATGACCCAACTGTGCAGCGCCTTGGGACGTCCTCCTGACGTGAAAGGCGCTCTATAAATGGAATCTTGTTGTTGTTGTTGTTGTTGTTGCACAACCTTGGCATCAGGTTCGACCCACAGCTGTCCTTGCTTCCCCGAATCTGGTCTCTAACCAGGACTGCCTTCCTCCACCCTCATCACATTGCCCCCTCTGACTACCTTACCCCAGGTGTAGTCAAAACACTCGTCCGTGCGTACCCCCATCATACCAGTTCTAATCAGGCCCCACTGCCTCTCTGCTGCTGAATGGATCAATTTCACGATACTCACTCATTTTCAAATCCCTTCATGCCCTGGCACCTCCTTACCTCTCTGACCTGCTTACCCCCCCCACCCCAACCCACTACCTGCTGCCTCCGCTCGACTGGCTCAGGCCTTCTGTATGTCTCTTGTGCCCTCCATTCCACCATCAATGGTTGCACTTTCAGCCCCTATGCCCCCAAACTCCGGAACTCTTTCTCTATCCCTCCGCCTTGCCCCTTCCTTCCAATCTTTAGGTCACGCCTGAAGACCTTCCTATTCGGTCAAGGTCCCCCCCACCCCTCCCTCCCCAACATCGTGCTCTGCCATTGTCTAACGCTGACTTAGGGACGCTGTGTAAATGCAAGTTGTTCTTGTTATTATTTACAGTCTATTCTGTGAAGCGCTTTCACACAACTCAATAAAGTCATAAATCAAGGGTTATTAAATGACCGTGTATCACTTTGGGCTGTTTCCCCCCGCAGGAAATGTCCGGTTTGTCAAATTCTGTTCCCGATCAACATGGAGGATCACAAGTTTGAGGAGCACGTGCAAACCCACTTCCACCTGGAGTGTCCCATGTGTCACAAAATCTTCATTGACGCCCCGCAGCACGAGTTCAATGAGCATGTGGAGAATCACTTTAAAGTCTGAAAGGGCGAACGGCAAACTGAGCTTTCAACCCTGTGTTTGCAAAGATGGTAGATTTTTTCTCTCTCTCTCCATTTTTTTTTCTTTCCCCTTCTAACTTTCGCTTTGTGCATCTGTATAGCGCCTTTCACGTCAGGAGAACCCATCCAGTGCCTTGGGATGTCCTCCCGACATGAAAGAACAGATCGTACAGATGTAATTTGTTGTTGTTTGTACCTCGCTAGGTTAGTCAGGCGTACAGATTTTTTTTTTTTTTTTTTGCGTTGCCATCTGCCCTGCAAAATACTTTTAAAAAGCTAACAGTTATTTGTGAATAAAAAAACATCCACCCCCGGCTTGTTGTAGACACTTGCTGCTTCGTAAGAAGGGAATGTGCTGTATGTGATGGACAGCGGCACAAGGCTGCTCACACAGACACACAACACCTGGCTTTCCTGCAGAGAAAGCTTCTTTATACTTGGACATGATCTTGTGTTCCGCTTTTAAAGTTAGACGAACAACATAGCCGTTTCTTTTCATAGATTCATAAAATTTTACAGCACAGAAGGAGGCCATTCGGCCCATCGTGCCTGTGCCCGCTCTTTGAAAGAGCCACCAACTAGTCCCACTCCCCCACTCTCACCCCATAGCCTTGCACATTTTTCTCTTTTTTAAGTACCTGCCCAATTCCCCTTTGAAAGCTACTATTGAATCCTTTCAGGCAGTGCATTCCTGGACATAACAACTCTCTGGGTAATAAAAACACACACCTTAGTCTTTGAAAAGTTTCCGAGTGCTTTTTGACTGCAAAAATGGCCGATTTTCGCCCTGTGTAACAAGGCTGTCCTGTGTGTGTGATGTTCATCATTTTGACAGTGTTCTAACATTCTGTCGTCCTCTGTTAAAACAACCTGCACCAGCCACAGATTGATCTTCACGGCCCCAGCTGACCTTTGATGAGGTGCTTCTCACAGCACTCGACCAGAGCAAAAGTCTTTCAGCTCCTGTTTGCAGGACTTTGCTGCTCTGCATTTAGCTGGAAACATACAGTCACTCACTTAATCCGTCAAAACACTTGCAATGCTCCTTCCAAGCACTGAATCAAATGCAAGGATAGTTATCACGCAAACCATTCTGTTCCCATGCAGATACAGTGCACACAATCACTCACATGTTAATGGATCAAAATGATTGCTGTTTGGATTAATTTCCAATGGTGGTCTTCATGATTGTTTGCCTACAAAACACAGTCACTACACTTTACAGTGTATCCCATGAAGTGCTTTGAGATGTGTTCTTAATGTAATATATAATTATATCACAGAGATATTCCCAAGTAAATTGCACATAACCAGTTAATGCATTTAAATTGATTGGATTCTTTCAGACTACTGCTCATTGCTTAAATGTATTGGTTGTGAATTGTGCGTGGCTGAACCTGCCCGACACGATCAGGTCATCTTAACTTTATTTCTAATCACTGAAGGCAGTTTACCAGAGATATTGGTTCAGATATTAGAACCAATAAATGGTTTCACCTGTTTCACCAATAAATATTGTTTAAATTGCAGCTGTGTACCTCATAGATTTGTATGCTGTGACGTATTACAAGGTGGAATTAAACGCCTTCCAAAGCTGAATGCAGATGTGTTGTGTTGAATTATTTCACTTTGAAGTCGACCAAACTTTGTGTAACACTTGTAATTCCCTCTCTCTCTCCCACCACCCCCAACCCCCAAGTTTTCTTTCCAGATGTTGCTGGGATGTAATTCACTCTTATACCAAATGCCCTTTCATTCATTCCCCCCCACCCCCACCTGCTACTCCATAACCCATAAGTGTTATGTTTCTGGAAGGGAGACTCAAAAATATTGCTTATGTGGCTCGTGGACTTTTCTCACATAGGGCAACCGGCCCTCAGCAGCCAAAAGGTTGGACCACCCCCTGCTTGTCTGCACGATTCAGCTTCATAATAACCTGCAGCTTTACAAAGCGAGCATTGGGGGAATGTAACGGGGATAAACCCTGTCCCTGTTTTCCACGGTCATTGTCCCCTCAACCCGTGTGTGAAGGAACGTGGGGGGGTTTTTGTGTGACTTGGTTTACAAGAAAAAAGTGCCACAATCCAATCAGGAGTTCCAGCCCTAAGTGCTAATTGGGCACCGACCACAGCTTAATGAGCACCAGGTAATGAGAACCAGAATAGAGCCGATTGCTTGAGAGAGTAGTGAGGAGAGCCTTGAGAAGATGGCTATAAAAAAAGTGGAGCTTCGTTTTCAAAATAAACCATTCCTTTTATTGTTAAAATCACTGTGCAAGTTTGGTTTTCCGGGCATGACCCACACTCTCATACACGGAGATTTGAGTGTAAGTATTAGTACTGATTTCCCTTTTAAGAAATCCTTCACCACCACTGCTCTGTTAGTAACTGCACAACAAATGCTGTGACTGTAGCACTCCTTAGAAGGATTTGGTGCTGTAGTTGGTCGCTCATCACAAGGGGGTGAAGCCATTCATTCTGTCTCCTCAAGGGGATGTTCATTGAGGCCCGTCTCAAGACCCTCCTCTTCGACCATGCCTTTGGTTACCCTCCTACCCCTACCCTTCCTACTCTCTATCCCTCCTGATCTCAATGCTTTTGCCCATATCCACTGACTGGTTATTATAAATCACAAGGTTATTGTGTTTCTGCCTTGGTCTGTCAGAGAGTAGATTGAACCCCACATCGGTCTTACGGGTTTCCTTTCAGATGATCAATTCATATTGAAAGATTCTGTGAGGAACGTTTCCTTCCACGGGCTAATCCCGGGTGTCAGTCTGGCTTAGTCAGTAATACTCTCACCTCCCAAGTCAGAAGGCTATGGGTTCAAGCCCCACGTCAGGAATTTGAGCTATTTGCTATTTCGACCCGTCCGCTCCTTCCGATTAGCGGGCAGCTCCAATTTCCCCACCCGACTGGCCCCACCCTCAGCTGTCAGGCCTTCAGCCTCTCTGCCCCCACCCTTTGGAACTCTGTCCTACAGACCTTTCACCTTACTCCCTCCCTTGCCTCCTTCAAGGAATATCTCAAACCCTGGCCTTTGACCCCTTCGTCCACCCTCTTAACCCAAACCTCCCCGCCCTCCACCCCTCCTGATCCCAACCCCTTTAGTCAGGTCCCAATCCCTGACTGTCTAGCGTCTTGGAACGTCCTCCTGAAGTGAGAGGTGCTGTTTAAATTTAATTTGTTGTTGTTGTTGAGCTCACAATCCAGACTGGCACATAACCAGGGAAAGGCACTGCGACTACCTTCAAATAGAAATTAAACCAAGACCTTTGTTTGTCAAGTGGGCATTATAGAGCCCATGGAACAGCTAAAAAGGCACAGGACACAATCCACCAGATAAAACTGGTGATTCAGTTCATTGCCATCTGCAGAACCTCACACTGTGCTGCCACGTTGCTTATAAATAGACAATGAGATCAAATGGGCAAAGGGCTTTCTTCCACTGAATGGATCTCGTGGCTGTGAATTTGTGTCTTAAAGTGTCAAACAGCGACCCTCAGTGGGGAACTGGAAGAGTTCAGTAGATCAGCATTCCAACCAGTACATCCTGTGTGACACAAGGGTTGATTTGAATGAAGAAGGCAGGCCCTTTGACCCGTCTGATCTCAAAACAAAATCTGATCTCATCACACCAGTACACTTACCTTATGTCCCCCCCTCTTCCCCCAAACACTGCATCAAGATGTTATTTTTATTCAGTCATGTTCCATTAAACGCTCCAGAACGATATCCAGGGTGAGGGGCAGTTGTTATTGTTGTTCTGCTCTCAGGTATCCTTCCTGGCAGGACACTCCATGCATTACACACTGCAGTGTGTGACAGTTGTAATGTATGGGTGCAATGGGTGTGTAGTATGCAGCTTTGAAGAAAAATCATACTTTCTGTTTTAATAAAGGAAGCAAAACTAACTGCTAAGATAAAATGTCTGCTAAGCAGACATGGAACCAGATAAGATCCCAGGTTCTCTCTCTCGGTATTATACATCTATTTATTGTTTCTGTCATCAACGTCAAAGCTACCTTTGCAGTAAGTGCTTCTGTTGAGCACTTCCCAGGATGGTGGCTGGTTTAACATCAAAAAGCTGTCTGGGATTTGGTGCTAAATCCACTGGGTATAAAGGTGATCCATTAAGTGCAACTGCTGACAGTGCTGTGGAGATAAGAAGCAGAGAGAGGCACGGACTGCTCTGGTTGGTGTCTTTTAATTGGGTCCCAGGCAAAGTGGACAGCAATAACTCTGACTTTTATCGAGCTATGGAACCAAGACATTAAAAAAGTCTCTTTCTCTTCCCCCCCTCTCCCCCCACCCTCTCCAATACACCCGCCCCCCACCCTGTCCAAACTCTCCAGCCCTCCCCACCCCTCCTACCCCATCCTTTCCAACCCAACCACCACCCCCCCACCCATTCCCAATCAAATTAATCCGAGCCATCCTTCACTGAGCTTTGGCATGTTAAAGGGAGTCAGGGCTAACAGGCACTGATAGACATGTTTATGTGTCAGCCCGGACAGTCATGAGGCTTTTATAATGCAGAGAAAGCATTCAGACGGCTTACAGTCACTGAACTAAATCTTCATTGCAAGGGGAAGGTTAAAGTTAAAAGCTTTCCCAATATTTGACTGTGCACTTGTGTGTGAATGGAACCTGCCCTTGCCTGTTTCACAGTGTTTTAGTTAACAGGAAGTTAGCAGAGTCTTCTTACAATAATCTCTTTCCGGCGATTTCCTCTCTCGATTTCACTCTCTTTTTTATTGTTTAATTTGGTTACAGCAAAGAATAACTATTGGGACTACAATCCTGATATGATTTATAGTCATTTGGGATGATGGGAGAGACAACAACTCTCCCGGTGTTCTGGCCAACAATTCCCCAGGGTAAAATTGGTCATTCACTTCATGGCTGTTTGCGAGACATTTGCGTAAATTGGCTGCCACGTTTGCCTACAAAATACATAGTCACTGCACTTTGCAGTAAATCCTGTGAAGCATTTTGAGACATCCTACTGACATGATAAGGTGCTGTATTAAATGTAAGGATTATTATTAGGTCATTCCTGGCAATCTTTCTTATTCACGCTCTACCTACTTTCTATCTCCATACCCACCTCTCTCTTGTCCGTTATCTCCCTTCTCTTTCACTCCTATGGTGTCTCTCCTTCTCAATTTCTCCTCTCTTTCCCCCCGCACTATCCCAGCTGCTCTGTGCTGCACCCGACACTGATGTGGGAGCGCAGGGGAATTGGGTGGATTAATATGACTTATTACAGCTTTATATCACTGGTGATAATATCACATACCGCATTTTCTCCTTATTACTCAAGCAGACTTTAATCAAAGGGCTTTGAGACGTCATGGCCATTTTTTTACTTTTTTCTTTATTCCTTTATTGCACACAAAATGTACGGTCAATCCACTTTGCAGCGCATCGTGTGAAGCGCTTTGAGACGTCTCGAAGATGTGATAAAGCGTTGTATCAAATGCAAGGATTAGTATTATTACTGCTGCTGTATAACATAATTTAATTTGCTTTGTTTTTACAAGCTTAAACACTCGGTGGATTTTTGGTCTATTCGATGTTACACAATGACTGGCAGTTGAATCAGTCGAAATTACGCAATGACAGTTGAAATTGCCTTTCTGAGATTTATTGGACAAAAGTGTTCCTGATTCTATCAGTGCAGCTTAGTGTTAGACGAACAAAGTAGTGGGGGTTGGGGGGAGATTCCTAAAATAGAGACGTTCTTGCTTTTTTTTTTTGCATTTGCTCGTTTTGGAAGGATCATAATTCCTGAGGGACTTTGACACCAAATGCCTTTGAAGCCTTGTGTCATGTTTGAGTCTTTCAAACACAGATGCTGGTCTGAACACTGTGCAGAAGGCTTCACACTTTAACGATCTCACACGTAAAATCAAACCCAGGATTCCTCTAAAGGGTGGGCAGCGAGAGCTGTGGAGCTGAGAGCTGAGAGCCTCCGCAACATCTCACAGTGGGAACAGTCTGTAATCTGATGCTGTACGAATAATATCTTATTATTCACAACACAGGGACAACGCAGGCCTCCTCTCTCATGGAGTCTCGTAACATAGTGGTCAGAGCACTCGCATCGCAAAGCAAGAGGACTGGGGTTCGATTCCCGGGCAGAACACAACCTTAGGCAAGTTTCCTTACTCCACACGCCTCTGTTTACGCAGCAGTAAGCAGGAACCTGAATGTTCGTCAATTGGCGGATCGCTTTTCTGGGGGTAATAATAATCCCTTCAAAAAATAATAACAATTTTGTCACTCAATTCACGGCTGTTTGTGGGACACCGCTGCGTGGAACTGGCTGCTGCATCTCGCCCACAAAATACACAATTAATCCACATTACAGTATATTCCGTGAAGCGCTTTGAGACGTCTCGACAACATGATAAGGTGCTATATCAAATGGAAGGATTACTATAGGATTATTATCACTGTGTTGTACAATCTGTACAATCTTGGTGGCTGAACCTTCATATTTTAATGTCTAGAAACCTCACCCGCTTTCTCTGTCTGTGTTTTAAGTCACACCTTAATGCCTCGTCTTTGACCATTCCATGCTCCTTTTCCCCC